CTGTGCGTGACAGGGGGTGGGCCCACCCCCTCCCCATCGACCCTGCCTTGAGTGTGACAGGGGGCACCCCAATCTCCCAGTTGGCCCTACCCTGAGCATGATTGAGGTTGGCATCGCAACCTCCTGATCCACCCTGCTCTGTGCATGACAGGGTGCGGTGCCCCAACTCCCCAATCGGCCCTGCTCTGAGCCCAACCAGGGGCTGCACCTAGGGATTGGGCCTTCCCTCTGCCACCGGGAGCAGGCCTAAGCCAGCAGGTTGTTATCTCCCAAGGGGTCCCAGACTGCGAAAGGGCACAGGCCGGGCTGAGAGCCTCCCCCTCCCCCCCGAGTGCACAAATTTTTGTGCACTGGGCCTCTAGTATATATATAAAAGGCTAATATGCAAAGTGTCCCCTCAGGAGTTCACCGGAGAATGGGAGTTCAGTCGCTCGCTATGACATGCACTGACTACCAGGGGGTGGCACAGAACATTGTGGGCGACCAGCAGCAGCAGGGCACTAAGGGAGGGAGGGAAGGAGGAGGTGGGGGGAACTGTGCAGTGGCAGTGCTGGTGACTAGGGAAGGAAGAGGCAGGGGGACCTGATCGGCCCTGATTGCTGGCCAGGCCTAGGGACCCTACCCGTGCATGAATTTCATGCACCAGGCCTCTAGGTCAGCAATAAAAAGGAATAGAACTCTGTTATATGCTACAATGTTGATGAAATTTGAAAATGTTATGCAGGTGAAAGAAGCTAATCCTAAAAGGCCATGTAGTGTATGATTGTATTTATGTGAAAAGTCCAGAAGAGAGAAATTCATAGCAGAAAGTAGATGAGTGGTTAGCAGGGGCAGTGGGGAAGAGAAAATGGAAAGTGATTACTATAGGGTTTGTCTTTGGGGATGATGAAAATGTTTTGGAATTAAATCAGGGTAGTGATTGTACAACCATGTAATACATTAAAACCAGTGAATGCTGCACTTTAAAAAGGTGATTTTTATGGTATGTGAATTATATCTTAATGTTTTTACATTTTATAAACTTTTTCCAGTTATATTGAAATATAACTGACATGTAGCATTGTATTAGTTTAATGTGTACAACAAAATGATTAAATATATGCATATATTGTGACATGATTACCACAGTAAGTTTAGTTAATATTGACCACCTCACATAGTTACGAATTTTTTTCCTTGTGATATCTCAGGTGTTGGGTTTTTTTTTAAAGAAAATAAACATGTATCTGTCCAATTTTCCCAACACCATTTATTGAAGATACTGTCTTGACTCCATTGTATGCTCTTGTCTCCTTTGTCAAATATTAATTGAGCATAATGGCTTGGGTTGTTGATTTCTGGGTTCTCTGTTCTGTTCCATTGATCTGTAACATGCCTGTTCTTGTGCCAGTATCAGGTTGTTTTGATTATGGTGACTTTGTAGTATAACATGGTATCTGGTATTGTGATTCCTCCAACTTTGTTTGTCTTTCTCAAGATTGCTGAGGATATTTGGGGTCTTTTTGTTCCATATAAATACTTGGAGTATTTGTTCTAGATCTGTGAAATATGCAGTTTGTATTTTAATAGGGATTGCATTAAATCTGTAGATTGCCTTGGGTAGTGTGGACATTTTAATGATGTTAATTCTACCAATTTAAATCTAGTAGTTTTTCATGGAGTCTGTAGGGTTTTCTATGTACAATATCATGTCATCTGCGATTAATGACAGTTTTACTCGTAACCTCCTTTCCAATGTAGATGCTTTTTATTTCTTCTTGTCTGATCGCTGTGGCTAGAACTTGAGTGCTATGTTGAATAAGAGTGGTGAAAGCAGACATCCCTGCTTGTTCTTGTTCTTAGGGGAAATGGTTTTATTTTTTGCCCATTGAGTATAATGTTCACTGTAGGCTTGTCATATATGGCCTTTATCATGTTGAGATATGCTCCCTCTATTTCCACTTTGTTGAGAGTTTTTATCAAAAATGGGTGTTGGATTTTGTTGAATGCTTTTCCCCCATCTATTGATATGATCATGGGTTTTTGTCTTTCAAGAAAATAAACATGTTATAAGACCCCACAACTTCATTTTTTATACTCGTTTAGCCTCACTCATACATTATCTCTCTCGCTTCTGAATACATTTGAGTTTACAAGCCTCGCTTTGCATATAGAACATAAATGGAATTTATTTCAAAGTTCATACAATTTTAGTTTTAATTTGAATAATAGAATGGATTAGATAAAACATCCATATAGTGTTCATTATGCCTACTTATATCTAAAATTTGTCTACCTTCCTCCTCCACTATTTGTCTATCTACTTTCTACTCTGAGCCACCATCACCTCCCAGCCAACTTCCTAGATTATTATAGTGGCCACTTTACTGGTCTCCCCTCATCTATTCTGCCAGATAATTTTCCACGTAGCAACCAAAGTGCTTTCTAGTCATATCATTTCCCTTTACTAAACTCTTCTACCTTTTCACCATTGCTTTTTCCTCTCTCGTTTTTTACCATTGATTTTTGAATAATGCCTACAAGATCTAGTATGATCTAACCCTGCCTTTTTCTTACCCATATCTTGGATTACTTCTTTTTGTTTTACATTCTTTTATTTCTTTTTGTTGTTTTACATTCTTAAAATTACATGCTCTTTCGTGTCCCTTCAGCCTTTGCACATACTATCACCTTTACTAGAAGCGGAGATTTTTTTTTCCTGCCACCTCACTCCTCCTCAGTCTCTGTAGTCTTTCCGGTTTTTTTTGTTTTGTTTGTTTGTTTGTTTGTTTGTTTGTTTTAGTCTCTCCGTTTAAATGTCACTTCTTCGAGTCTTTCTTGATCCCTGAGACTAGATTTGGTTCTCCTTTAAATGCTTCCACAGCACCTTGAACCTCTCCTTTTTTAGTACTTATTACATATTTTAACAATGGTTTATGTTTTCTCTACAAGTCTATAAACTCTGTCATCTTGTCTGCTACTTCATAAGCACACTTTGTAGGCAGGCAATAAGTATTTTATGAATGGAATTATATAATCACTAATGAATATAAAATTTGTTTTTTCCTGAAGGGAGGAAGAAAGAGAAGATTTTGATACTAGCACTGACAGCAAAGAAATAGAGCAAAAGGAACTAGATCAAGATACAGTCACCGAAGATGAAGATGACCCAGGATCACATAAAAGAAGCAGAAGAGGTAATACAGAAATTTCTTATGGACATGCTTACTTGATTTTAATTGATAAGGCACTTTATTAAGTCAGCTATTCTGACATATGTATTAGATTACTTCCATTTGTGATTCCAAAGTGTGTTTGTTTTTTAAGTGCCCAACTCATAGCTGTAACCATTTTGTTATAAAAATGGTTATGAAGTTACATTAGTATATTTATGATTAGATCTTTATATGTCATTTATTCTTTAGGGGAAAAAGACAATATACCTATCCCTTTATTAGGTCAGTTTCTCTTAACTTCTACTTTTGGTTAGTCAATGAGTTTTATTGAGTTATGTACCCATTCAACATTCATTGAATGCCTCTTAGGTACTAGAGATACAGAGATCAATAATGCTTGTAATTGGTGTCATATTTCTGAGAATGGAAATCTCTGCTGCCTTAACATAATTTCATAAATTCCTGGATCAAAGGAAATACATTTTTTGAAAGTTATTGATAGAAATTACTTCTGAGGGTCTTTAATCATCTTCATTTCACAACTTAATCCTTAAGTTTATTCTGTGCCTATAATTCGAATGCTATTTTTTTCTACATTATTTTCTGAACGGTTATTATTACAGAAAATTTCCTGTATCGTGGAGGTTGTACTTTCTGATTGCAGTGCAATTGATTTAGAAATTCAAAACAAAAACCTCATATAATGAGCATTTTAAAACATATTTCTAAGCAATGTACCAAAGGAGAAACCATAATGGAAACTAGTAAATATTTTAAACTAATCAGTACTGCATGTTAACATTTGTTTGATGTAGTCCCTCTACTTTGAGGAACATTTATAGCTTTAATGCATATTAGAATCAAAAAAAGGCAAATTGAGGTAGGCATTCATTTATTTAAGAAGTTAGAAGTAGAAAATAGAATAATACCCCCAAATACAAGGAAACAACAGATATGAGTAGAAATTAATAGAAAATAAGACTACAGTAGAAAAGAACAACAAAGCCAAAAGTTTGTTCTTTGAAAAAGACACAAACTAGACAAACCTTTTTTTATATATTTTTATTTATTTCAGAGAGGAAGGGAGAGGAGGAGAGAGATAGAAACATCAGTGATGAGAGAGAATCATTGAGGGGCTGCCTCCCGCACACCCGACACTGGGGATTAAGCCCACAGCCTAGGCATGTGCCCTAACTGGGAATCGAACCAGTGACCTCCTGGTTCATAGGTGTGATGCTCAACCACTGAGCCATGCCAGCGGGGCTAGACAAACCTTTTTTGAAATTGATTTTCTGTGTCCAATTTTATGGCAATAAGTTGAATAATGTAAATTGTAAAAATGGATTAATTATGTGAATGGTTCTAAACCATTAAAGATTTAAAATAAGTATTAAAAGTCTACCAACAAAGAAAACATCAGTCCTGGACAATTTTATAGGTGAATTCTGCCAGTTTTAAAGCAAATGATTCCAACTTTATACAAACTCATTCAAGGGGGGGGGGGGGTAGAAAAAAACACACTCCCCAACCATTTAAGTAATTTGACAGTGACTGGAATAGAAGATAAGTTCAGTTCTTCAATACATTGTTAATGCCAGGCAGGTTACCAGGAATTCAGGCTCTTTCTGTCTTGTTGGTGCTTCTATCCTCATGTTCAAAAAGGATTTATCATCGTGTCTCCATTTTGGCTAGTTGGGAGAGAGAAAGAAGAAAGAGAAGCGCGACTCTGAAGTTACATGTAATGCTTCTGTTCCGCATTTTTTTCACCAGAAGTTTCTCATGTAGTCATGCCTACTGGAGAAAGGGGGTCTGGGAAATGTCCTTCTTTTGGCTTGCTGGGTACCCAACTAAAAGTTACGGGTTCCCCTACTTGAAAACAGTGGTTAGTAAATTACAGCCCATTGGCCAAATCTGCCCTGCCCTCTGTATTTAAAAAAAGAACATTTTTTTAATGTAAAATTTATATGAAATTCAGATTTCAGTGATCATAAATAAAGTTTTATTGAACACAGCCATGCTCATTCATTTACATAGTGACTGTGGTTGCTTTCATGCTGCAATGGCAGAGTTGAGTAGCTTGTGATAGAAACAGTATGACCCATAAAGCTTAAAATAGTTACTAGCTCGCCCTTTTTAAAAGTAGTTTGCTAACTCCTGCCTTAGAGGAAGGACTGAATATATCGCAGAATAACAGATTCTGCCAGACTTTCCGGTTACAGATATCACAGATATTTGTGTGTCTTTTTATATTTAACTGTACCAATTTCTTATTAACATAGTGTATTAGTCTATTACTGCTGTCATAACAAAATACCACAGACCAGGTGGCTTAAACAACAGGAATTTATTTTCTCACAGTCCTGGAGGCTGGAAGTACAAGATCAAAGTGCAAGCAGGGTTGATTTCTGGTGAGGCTTCTCTCCCCAGCTTATAGAATAGCACTTTCTTACTGTGTCCTCACACAACCTTTCCTCCATACTCACAGTGAAGAACAAGAATGCTCTGGTGCTCTGATCTCTCTTCCTCTTCCTATAAGGTTCCGACCCTTAGGATCTCATTTCATCTTAATTACTTCCTTAAAGGATCTGTCTCCAGAAGCAGTAGCATAGGGATTTAGGATTGCAACCTATGGATTTTGGGGCACATATTTCAGTCCATAGCATATAGTAATTTGGGGTAGCCTTAGATCTTATTTTTCTAATGAAAGTTTAAAATATGATGGTGATCAAATGTTACTTCAACTCTAGGGAAAAGGGGACAAAATGGATTTAAAGAATTTACAAGACAAGAAGAGATCAGCTGTTTAACAAGAGAGCCTCTTACTACTGATGAGGAAGAAGCTTTAAAACAGGAACACCAACGAAAAGAGAAAGAGCTCTTAGAAAAAATCCAAAGTGCCATAGCATGCACTAATATCTTTCCCTTGGGACGTGACCGGATGTATAGGCGATATTGGATTTTCCCTTCTATTCCTGGATTGTTTATTGAAGAGGATTATTCTGGTCTCACTGAAGACATGCTGTTGCCTAGACCATCATTTCAGAATAATGTACAGTTTCAAAATGCTCAGGTATCCACTAAAACTGGAGAGTCTTTGATGTCTGAATCTACCTCCAACATTGACCAAGATCCATGTGATGATTCTGTGCAACTGCCAAAACCAGTGCATAAGCCAAATCGGTGGTGCTTTTACAGTTCTTGTGAACAGCTAGAACAGCTTATTGAAGCTCTTAATTCTAGAGGACATAGAGAAAGTGCCTTAAAAGAAACTTTGTTACAAGAGAAAAGCAGAATATGTGCACAGCTAGCCCGTTTTTCTGAAGAGAAATTCCATTTTTCAGGTAAATTTTCAGTAAAAACTATTGCCTTTATTTTTCTTTCCCCATAAAACTCTTGTTCAGGATTAAACATTTTCCAAATTATTAGAGCTATATTAAAACACCTTATCTTTCATTTGGACCATGCTATGTTTGAGTGTTTGCAGGTTAGGGAAACAAGGTTCTCGATATTCCACTGGGTTTCACTTGTAAAAGCAGTAAAACATTTTTAGCTATAAGTTTTTGTTTTTGTTTTGTTTTTTTAATCCTCACCCAAAGATAGGTTTTTATTGATTTGAGAGTCAGAGAGAGAGAGACAGAGACAGAGACATTGATGTGAGAGAAAAACATTGATCAGCCGCCTCCTGTATGTGCCCCAACTGGGGATTGAACCTGAAACCTAGGTATGTGCCCTGACTGAGAATCAAACCTGCAATATGCTCCAGTCAACTGAGCCACCTGGCCAGGGCTAGGTATAATTTTTTATATTTCTAAATGAGATTCTCTAGCTAGTGTACTCTTAAATTTGGGGACATATTACCATCACTACTTTATTTTTATTTTTTTAATCCTCACCCGAGAATATTTTTTCCATTGATTTTCAGAATGGAAGGGAGTAGAAGTGGGGGAGGGAGAGAGAGAGAAACATAGACATGAGAGACACATTGATTGGTTGCCTCCTGCATACACCAAGGCCAGGGATGGGGAGTAAACCCAAAACCGAAATATGTGCCCTTGACTGGGAATCGAACCCTTGACTCTTTGGTCCACAGGCCAACACTCTAACCACTGAGCAAAACCATCCAGAGTGACCATCACTACTTTAGTTCTCTTCAGGATCAAAAACTGTAACTCACGATTCTTTTTTTAACAGCTTTATTAAATTTAATTCATACACTATACAATTCACTCATTAAAAATATTCAGTTCAGTGGTTGTATAGTATATTCACCAATATGCGCAACCATCATCACATGGTTAATTTTAGAACATTTCATCACCTTATAAACACCATACACTTTAGCTACTACCCCCACCCAATAGACCTAAGCAACCACAAATTTATTTTCTGTCTCTATAAATATCCCTGTTTGAACATTTTACATGAATGGCATTATGTCACATATGGTCTTTTGTGGCTTACTTCTTTTCACTTAGCATAATGTTTTCAAGATTCATCTAAGTAGTAGCATGTATCAGTATCTTATTCCTTTTTATGGCCAAATAATGTTCCATTGTATACCACTTTTTTTTTTATCCATATGTTAGTTGATGGACATTTCTATTTCCATCTTCTGGCTATTTTAAATAATGCTACTATAAACATTTGCATACAACTTTTTGTGTTGACATATGTTTTCATTTCTCTTGGGTATATATCTAAGAGTGAAATTACTGGGCCATATGGTAATTCTGTTTAATCATTTGAGGAAGTACCAGACTATTTCCCAAAGTGGCTACACCATTTTATATTTCTGCCAACAGAGTGTGGTGGTTAACATTTCTCCACATCTTTGCCAATACTTGTTATTATCTGACTTTTTTATTCTAGCCATTCTAGAGGTGTGAAGTGATACTTCATTTCATTTTCGACATTCATTTCCTGAATGAGTAATGATGTGGAACATTATATCATGGTCTTATTGGCCATTTATATATCTTCCTTAAAGAAAAGTCTATTCAGATCATTTTACCATTTTTCATTGGATTGCCTTTTTATTATGAGTTTTTTATGTATATCCTATATTCAAGTCCCTTTTCAGGTATACAATGTGCAAACATTTTCTCCCCCTCTCCTTTTTTTTATTGCACTTGAGGATTTACTAAGGGTTTTGATATCCATTATCTCATGATCATAACAGTTACATGGGGTGATTATATTTTTAAATAAGGAAATCATAATAAAGTATTGGATAACTATTTCAGACAAACCTCAAATTGATAGCAAACCTACATGTACTCGGGCAAGAGCTTCCAATGCATATGATCCATCTCAGATGTCTGCAGAGAGGCAGCTTGAATTGAGGCTGAGAGATTTTCTTTTGGATATTGAAGACAGAATCTACCAAGGAACATTAGGAGCAATAAAGGTTTGTACCTATTCCCATTTTTAGTTTATCAAATTACCAGAATTTTGGTCATACTTGTTTATTTCTTTGCTATAGGCAACCCATGTGTGTTTTGAATACCAGAGTGATACATTTTTTATAAGAACAGCCTATTATTCCCCTGTATCAAAATGTTTATGTGTGGATATAAATCTTTCTTAATTATGCTATATGACTATCAGCTTTATTAAACCAAACTTAGTGACCATAACTGACCTTTTTAACATTAATTTTTAGTATTTTTTAAATATCTGTTATATGGTATATTCATCCAAGATGTTGAAATGTGTAAGGATATTTTCTTCTTCCTTGACCAGCTCCTGCCTGCTCTGCTGAGTCTGGTTTGTTTATTGGTTTCTTTGTTACCTTTTTAAAATCTGTAAGTAATTCATGTTTGATATGTGTGTTCTATTCATTGCTTTGCTATCATCTGTCACTTTTTTGCTACTATCAGGTGACCAATCTTAGAATTGTTTATGATTTTTCTATATAGAGAGTGAGGTACTAAAGCTTCCATCTGTGAATGATATGAATTTCATTTTGACCACTTAGTAATCTTATTTTTATTATCCCTTTTTGATTCACAATATGTTCTAGAACATTCATGAGTTTTTCATATGTACATTAAAACTCATACTCCTTAGGAACAACATATGCCAGTTTTCAGGATTAGTAATTTGAGTTTTGTTACAGGTTACAGATCGACACATCTGGAGATCAGCATTAGAAAATGGACGGTATGAGCTGTTAATTGAAGAAAACAAGGAAAATGGGATAATTAAAACTGTGAATGAAAATGTTGAAGACATGGAAATTGATGAGCAAGCAAAGGTCATAGTAAAAGACAGGTACAAAAAGAATTTTTTAAAGTAACCATCACTTTTCCTTGCCACTCATGTTTTTTCTAATGTAAATGTTTCTTTTTCTTCAAAAAAATTGTTTTAAAACCTTATTATGAGGACTTTAATACTTACAATCACTGAAATGATTTTGCTTAAACCACAGGCACTTGTTATTCTACTTTGTACTGATGCAACCAAAAGACAACCTTAGCTCAGCCAGAGTGGCTCAGTGGTTGAGTGTCAACCTATGAACCAGGTTCAATCCCTGGTCAGGGCACATACCTGGGTTGCCGAGTTCGATCCCCAGAAGGGGGCATGTAGGAGGCAGCCGATCAATGATTCTCTCTCATCATTGATTTTGCTCTCTCTCCCTCTTCCTTCCTCTCTAAAATCAATACAAATATATATTTTTAAATAAGTAAATAAAATAAAAGGCCCCTGGAAATTCCCACATTAAAGTTTATTTTTTTAAAAAGATAATTTATCCAAGTTTTTAAAAATGTTTTTATTAATTTCAGAAAGTAATTCTACACTTCTATTTCTTTTTCTGTAGGAAAATATAGTAAATTGTGGTAGACTTAAATATCATTTGAACTAATAATCAGAACCTGTACCTCTATATCAATAGATAGATACTTTTACTCTTTTGGAGTTATTTTCTATAGTATCTTCCTTTAAGGCAGTGGTTCTCAACCTTCTGGTCCTTTAAATAAAGTTCCTCATGTTGTGACCCAACCATAAAATTATTTTCGTTGCTACTTCATAAAGAAGCTAAAAAATGCAATGATATATTCCTAGTTGAGGCTGAAGATATATAACTTGGTGTGTATTGTTAAATAGGTCCTTATGTTTCTTTTCTTTTTTTTAATTAAATCATTATTGTTCAGATTATTACAGTTATTCCTGTTTTTTCCCCCATAACTCCCCTCCACCCGGTTCCCACCCCACCATCTGCCCTTACCGCCCCCCCTCCCCCCGCCCACTGTCCTCATCCATAGGTGTACAATTTTTGTTCAGTCTCTTCCCGCACCCCCCACACCCCTTCCTCCCTGCCCCCCGAGAATAGTCAGTCCACTCCCTTTCTATGCCCATGATTCTATTATATTCACCAGTTTATTCTGTTCATCAGATATTTTATTCACTTGATTTTTAGATTCACTTGTTGATAGATATGTATTTATTGTTTATAA